TGTTTTGCAAGTTACAAGTAAGCCTCAAGTCTTTGCACTCAATTCCCAAGTCAAGACTGACAAGTTGCAAGTCCTAAACTTTGAGTTTCTAGTCCCAAACAAGTCATGTTGCTCTCTTAAACAAAGTAATGCCTGTTATTAAAAAAAAAATCTTTCCTTGAAGGTATCTACATAAGGGTGAAATGACACTGTCATGAACTTGTCATAAACATTATGTACATGTCATAAACATTTATGACTGCTGTCATTAAGTGTCATTCGTTTTTTGTAATGACAAGTTGACATTGTTTGGGTTGTCTTGATTATGACAACTTGACATTAATCAAAGTGACATTACCAGAAGTTTTCTTTGTCATGACAAGTTGACATTAAATTTGTTTGGGATGTCCTTATTATGACAACTTGACATTAACCAGGATGACATTAACAGAAGATGTCTTTGTATCAATCATTATGTCAACTTGTCATTATCACAAAAAGAGGTGCATTTCCTGTTAATGTCAAGTTGTCATGACAAAGACATCTTCTGTTAATGTCATCCTGGTTAATGTCAAGTTGTCATAATAAGGACATCCCAAACAAATTTAATGTCAACTTGTCATGACAAAGACATCTTCTGGTAATGGCCCTTTTAATAAATATCAACTTGTCATAATCAAGACAACCCAAACAATGTCAACTTGTCATTACAAAAACCGAATGACAATTAATGACAGCAGTCATAAAAGTTTATGACATGCACATAATGTTCATGACAGGTTCATGACCATGTCATGTCACATTTATGTAGATACCTTCAAGTAAAGTGTAACCAAATTTTGAATACTTTTTAACATTTGCTTGTTAAAAAGTTAAGCTAACGTTAGCTAAGCATTATCATGTTTGTGTTATCATCAACTTACCATTCTTTATGCAACTTCATAAAGTTGGAAGATTTCAAGTAATTATGAACATGTGCATGTTTTACATACTGCAGTTTGTTTTTTGTTGACCACCACACAGTTTTTGTACCAGAACAAAACTATCTTTAGTAACATTTTCCAACTGGTGCTCAATGATGTCATGTTAGTTCTTCATGGTTCTCTCCTGCAACTTGATTGGATGCTGTCCAACTGATTAAGACAAAGTGGTTCTGGGAATTAAATGTGGAACGAATAGCGTTAATGTTAGGTGATTCAGGAAATTAATTGATTTTTGGTACACGCTCAGGTCCGAGTGAAGTCAAGCATCATTGGTGTTAAAGTCTAAAGTAATCCAATCGTGACTCGGGATTAGTGTCTTTAAAGCAAGATGATGGCAGACTGAAATGTATCTACAATATGTGGTGGATCTGTGTTGTACTTAATGTGCTGGATGGGTGTTCCACAATTGGTAACAGAGTTGGCTATCCAGCGTAAAAGTCAAAGGTAGGGCCATCATTACCAGAAATGTTGAAGCTTCTTGCACCAAAAACCTATTATATAATTGCAATAAAGGAATGGTTGACTATAGTTGTCGGACTGCAGTCATATATATATATATATATATATATATATATATATATATATATATATATGCCTCACCTGTGGACATCAAACCCTAACACTCAACATTAAAACAGTATAAATGAAATATATTAACAACAGACCTGGAAGGAGGCTCGGGGTGCTGATCTGCCCGTGGAATGGATGCTCAGGAGGCTGGTTCGTTGGTGCAGCGTTTGACCCTTGGAACGGTCAGTGAGTAGAATTTGGTTGGAGAGTCGAGAGCTCAAAGTAGTCTTGGAGAATGTTTCAGATCTGTATTAATAATAATCTGACCTGCTTTTTAAAAAGCTGACCAGGCCCACCTACTTGATAGCCAGGCTAATTTTCATCCATTTTTGGTCTGATAGAGTTGGAGGGGCGGCTTTACCGTATGGAGCGTACCAAAAGGAGGGACATAGGTGACCTGAGAGCATCCTGTTTGGTCGGTTACAACAAGAGGAAATAATGAAATTGTGTTTGTTTTAAAATCTAAGAAACACCTACTTTATTAGCTACAGCACTCCAAATACTGTCTAATTATTTGACAGGATTAGATGACATCCCTTAACTATAAAAGGATTATGTAATAATGCAGCAGGCCAACAGGATGCATTCAACCATTAGTTATAAAGGGTGTCTTATGGTTCAGTTCAGCAGCTAAATGTTTGTAAAAGTCAGATTTTGGTTTAGGGTTTGTTTGAAAAACTGAAAACTTCCCTCTTTGCAGAAAACTTCTGAAAGCCTGAGTTGCTGGTACACAGTGCACAAATTGAGTCTCATCCAAGTGTATGATGAATGGTATGGTATTAGTACTGTTGTCAAAAACAAGCCCATTCATTTTAATTACTTAAATATTAAATATTGAATGTGGTCCATATGTTGTCTATTCTTAACTAAACATAATCTACAATCTACAAAATGTGTTCATGGGGGACCACAGTTCATACACAATCTGACAATTAAAATGTCCTAAAATTGATAAATGTTTTTCAGCTGTACAAAATTATACTATGACATTTTTTGTCCATGCACTATTTAAATAGCATTTAGTTTGTATTTTTGTAACAATGGACCATGTGAAATAGGATGCTTTCTTGTACTTCTGCTGTAGTGCATGTGGTCAGTGACATTACTTTTTTTTGTGCTGAAAGAAGATTAGAGGTGAAAATGCTACATAAATTAATGTCAAGTAAAATGACATCAAAAAGGAAATTTGATATTGAAAGGACTAATAAAAGTAGAAATGGAAAATCACCAGCATAGAAAAAATGTTAGTGATGAAATTAAATGTTTGGTTGGTTGGTTGGTTGTGTGTGTGTGTGTGTGTGTATGTTTGCCAAAAGGAGGCGTGGCAATGATGGATGCATGTGCATACATGGTTGCAGCTATAGATGCTATGCACAGCATCACAGTATATGGAAGTTGCCAGTGCTGTTTGTATGTGCGTTCATGCACATAAGAGAGACGGTTCAAGTGTTGAGTAAGTGTGTGAGAGAGAAAAGTGTGCGTAGGTTCTCCCTTGGTACTGAGTGTAATATCTCTGAACAGATATAATAACATTAACTGCTTTGAATTAAACTGAAACCATTATAGGTCACTTACTCTCTGCCTAATAAAAAGTCAGAACGTCTGTACGCATTTGTTTTTCCATATTTTTTGGTTAAGTTAATACTTGATGCATGTCCTCACATGTGATATTCAAGTATTACTGTCAGCCAACTGGAACGAAAGAGCTTTTTAATGTCATTATAATTAAGGCTTCAAGTATAAACAGGTTATACAAGTTCAACCACAAAAAGCAGAACTGGTGTTACCTTTGGATTGAGAGATGTTAGGAAGGAAACAGCAGCTGTAAGACATCACAAAAGCAGAACTGATGAAACACTTGCAGGTTCCTGAAATGCTTCAGATCGATCTGCAATTTGGTCCTAAAACCCAATAATTTATCTGTTCTGTACACACTACATCTATTGCACATCTGTCTATCCTGGAAGAGGGATCCCTCCTCAGTTGCTCTTCCTGAAGTTTCTACCATTTTTTGCCCCCCTTAGAGGTTTTTGTTGTTGTTGTTGTTTTTGAGAGTTTATCCTGACCTGCTGTGAGGGTCCAAGGACAGAGGGATGTTGTGTGCTGTAAAGCCTCTGAGGCAAATTGTGATTTGTGATATTGGGCTTTATAGATAAAAATTTAAATTTAAATTACAGCCCTTTGAGGCATGCTTGACTAATCTGTAAGGCACTTTAATCTGCCTTTGGGTATAAAATGTGCTACTTAAATACATTTGTCTTGCCTAATATCTTTAGGGTCTTTTGGAATGCAGCTGTATTAAATCAACTAATCTCTCGACAGATGACAAATAAATTACAGCTTAGAAGTAAATCTAGTAGGGCTCCAACTAATCCTTATTTTCATAATCAAGGGATCTGTCAATTATTATCTATTTTATTATTAGTTCTTAGGCCTATAAAATATTAGTAAATGGTGAGAAATCCCCATCGAAATTTCTTGGAGCCCTGGGAGATATCATCAGTCTTGTTTTGTCTTGCCAAGAGTGCAAAAACCCATAATGTTAAGACAAAGAGAAGCAGCAGATTGTCAAATTTTTACAAAAAAGTCTAGATCAGTGGTTCTCAAATGGTGTGCCATGATGCCAGTCCAGGTGTGCCATGGGATTTTGTGATAACCACACATTATTATTGCAATATTCAGCTGGGCCTATACAAAAAGTTATGAATTTTTAATTGACTGCATCAGTATGTTGTGTGCACCCATTTCCTAATAAAGAGGCAAACTCAAGCGAATAAATGTAATTTAATTTAATTTTTAAAAAAAACCCTCACAGGAGACATACTTGTCACTGCTTGTGCATGGGAATTATTACTGTGAAACACATCAAAAACCCTGACTGGCAGCCAGTGTGAGGGATGAGAACACACGTTATAGAAGCTGTTGTGCACAGATATAAATACAGGTGTGCCTTGAGATTTTGACTTGCCCTTTGATGTGCCTTGGGTACATAAAATTTGGAAACCACTGGTGTAGACTAACTGATAATCAGCTAATTATTGCAGCTGTAAAACCTAGTAACACAGTTGAAATATCTGCCAAAGACTTCTTGTACACCAAGTCCCCTGAATCTGCCAAGACAGTACAGATCCTCTGTTTGACTTAAGAGGTCCCTCAGTTATCTATACTTCTATCTACAATGAAATTACTTTATTAGCTGTTTTTTGAGTTTATAATTATATTAGTAAAGCATTACATACCTTTACTTTAAATTACAATAATACAAATAGTATAAAGAGAATGACTTACACCAGCGCTCTTATCATTTTCATCACCTACTGTATGTTGCTTAAGTACAGACCTCTTTCATCATCCAGGTTTTCTACGGCATTGTTGAGCAACTGATTGAATGTGCAATCTTGAACTAATTCCTTATTTCACATGAGAACAGGGCTGAGCTTCTACTCGAATAAAAAACAGCCACACACATTAGTTAATCCATTTTTAATAGATGATACAATCAATATAGGTAAAAAGTTCAACTGAAAGATAACCATCCATAACTGAAAATATCAGCAATGATGACCAATACTGTTGCAAGTGAAATCAAACCCAGTGTCACAGTCATTTCCTCTTCTTTTTTTGCACAATGATGGTGGTAATTCATGACGGCCTTGGTCCAGAGTTGATAAGCATTATCAAGATGGAATACCCTTCAGTATTAGCTGCTTGATGACAGTGTATTAATGGGACTGGGTCACTTATCCACAGTTCACATCAGGATTATTCAAGTAAAATGACTGACTGAGAAGAATTTATTTGGCATGCATGATTTTCATTCCCCTGAAATTAACACTGTGGTCATTTCACTATGCATAACACATTGCTTTTTATTGTCACTCAGTTGTTTAGTTGTTCCTTCCCATGGTCTCTTTGGATCACCATGGCTGTTGCATAGGACATTAACCAACATAAAATAACAGCGTCAAGGGACACACGCCAAAGACATGTGGATACTGTGACAAAGTTACAATTAAATCTGGAAAATTACCTGAACATATGGCTTATTAACATTATTTTTTTGGTCACCATCCATGTAGTGTGACTGAGGCTTGCAGTTTTTTTCTCTCCTCGTGACCAAGTGTTATTTTAATTCATGACTTACAGAACAGAAGTTGTACAGAATTTAAAAAAAAAAAGTATTAACAATGTTTTGAACATAAGCTTTTTTTTCTCAATAAAAATAATTTCAACATTAGTAATCTTTAAAAAAAATCACATTAAATTTGCACTTACATACAAAATTAAAATATCAAGTAAAATATGTAACAACCCACTGCAAAAAGTGTCAGGGGGGAAAAAACAACAGCTGTTGGCCAACAGATCAGACCTGGGGCTGCAGAAAGGCTGAGGCACCTTTATACATCAGCCAAACCAACAGTCTGACAATAACTGTCCTGCATAATTTGTATTATGTTAAATACTGCATAAATAAGTCAACTCTGATTCAAGGCTATAGAGTTTGGTACCAATAGAAACCAATATTTCATTTTAGCAGATCATTTTCAGTTTCAAGGGAAATTACACACATGGCATTATTCCCTGATGTTCATGTTGAGACATTTATGTTAGAGTATATTCTCAAGAGAAAAGAGTGACTTAATGAAAATGGTAAGCCAAAGTGAAATATTATATACTTTAAGGTCTCTGGGTTAAGGCGCAGAAAAGCTATCTTCTTCTTGTTTCTAGCGTTAGGACACTTATAATACATACAATGAGAACAAAGGAGAAGTACCGTTTTAGTTTTGAAAAAGCATGTAGTGCATTCACTCTCTACATAGACACTCTTCTTTTATAGGTTTATATTTAACGACCTTAACTGCAATTAATTAGGCTGAAATCTACCAAAGTGCATGATGCTTAATTCGTATTTTATGTGTCGTGATCCATTAGCTCTGTTGGTTATTTTCATGTTAGTTTTAGAGTAAGGACATCACTCAGTCTTTCTCTGCCATAAATGACCTTAAGTTATTTTTTTTAGCATAGATATTTAAGTTAAAGCAAGTAGTAGCGTTACACTTGAATTCAGATTAAAAATGCATCAAACAGAAATAAGGAAAACTTGACAAATCTGAGAAAGACTATCACAATCATTCATTTGGCTCACTCTTACTAGCATAGTTCCATAAAGTAGAATATCACACCAAGAAATTCAGATGCAATTTCTGATTGGACAACAAAGCGCAGTTGGTTTGAATGCATGCAACACTTTATCTTCTTAAACTGGACAGGAAACCAACACTCTAAAACCTGATGTCAGACTGATGTGTAGACTGCTACTTCTTCATTACACTGAAAGCTGGTGTTTTTGGTTTTATCCAACTTACCAGACTCTGAAACTTAAAGGATTTTAGAATTTATCTATTTAGAGCTGTAAAATCAAATCACATCATGTCCCTTGTCTCACTTTTCCAATTCATTTTCTAAGGAACTGTCCATCCCAACAAGTCCTCCAAACCATACGACCACAGAGGTTGTTTGTTCCTAACCTCCAAAGGGGCCGTACACATGCCGTGTTTTTTGCAGACTCAAATTCATTGTTTCCGATGAAGACATGTGGCAGGCACACCTAAACGCCAGAGCGACGCCAAAGTGGCCCCAGTGCCTATTTTTTAGGGCTGTGCCCTGAGATGAACACTGTTCAACTTTTGGAACACAGCAGTACGCACCGCATGTTATGTGATGAGGACCAAGCAATCACAGCTGGCAGATATTTTTCCCTTGTCTGTGATAAATATGGAGAAGTTGATCATGGTAGTGCAGGGCTACCAGAGATTCACCTCTGTCCAACTGACAATATTTCTGGCCCAATACACACTTACAAAACAGCGCCTGGAAGAAGATCAGCTCTGCACTCAGGATTTCTGGTAAGTAGGCTATGATAAAGTGCTGGTAATGGTCGCTTAGCAACCTCATACACAACCTGCCTCCGCGCCTTTGAAAGTTGGCAAAGAGTAAACACAGGATTAGCGCCCAGCACCCGACCTCCTGATTTTCCAAGCGATTAAAGACACAGCATGTGTAGGGTCCCTAAAATGACTCGCAGGAGCGCTTTCTAAATTAGCACCCCTTATGTTTGCAGATCGTAATTTGGGTTAAGTTAAGTATGTGGCTTAAGTAATTCAAACATTGACTGGAAATAACAACACTTTCTTTGGGTTTCACATGGGGCACTAACAGTGGTCTCTGGGTCTACGGCTGCGTTTTGAATTGCACACTTTTTCTTTGTACTGTCAGTATGTAATGCAGCTGCCCTTACAGAGTGAACACTGCTGTAGGGCTGTGCTCGACTCAGAATTATGTCAGTTGAATCAGATTTTGCTGCTCAAAACAAATATTTGAGTATTCGTTCCTTTTTCGATATAAAGTTTTCAAGTTTGGACGGGTTCAGCGAGACATTCAGTGTAGCTGACATTCATGCAATACGTTTAGCAATCTCAATCAACTGAGGGATCTCCGACTGATGATTTGAATCTCCGACTTTCAGGGGGCAGCCCTATACTGTTGCATGGAGTGTGCATACAATTGGTACATAATACTTAATCATAACACTACACCTTGAACTTTGACCCTCTTGCTTATATATCCATCACAGTCCATAGCATGAAATTTTAAGTAAAAAGAAAAAGTGTGTGATTCAGAAAACAGCAAAAGTCCTTTGTTTTGATCCACCCTGACGTCCTCCCTACACAGACTTCGTCACTCTATAAATTATGTCGCCCGCTTATTTCTTTGCTCCCATCATAATATGGCCACTCGAGGTCACTTAACAATAAACATAAACATGGGTCGTAATAAGCTTCTTGTACAAACGACATATGGGGTAGTTTTAGGGGGAGGACAGTCTTGCACATCAGTATGATACCACAGGTTAAAAGATGAGGTTTTCATCATTGACTATTTCTTGTCATTTGAAAAAGTAGTGAATTTTCACTGATGCAGACCAAGCTTACAGCTTAAGAAGAGCTCGAAGGGACAAATTTTTAAAAGAACACAACTTTTTCTTGGTATCTGTCAGCAGAAGGCAGGTCTTGACTTCATTTGACAGTAAAGAATTAAATAAACTATTCTGATTCATGTTAGGAAATGCACTTGTAAAAACATTCTCTATCACTCTATCACTTCCCAGAGCTTGTGAAAACAGTGCGCACATTGTATTTGACAAACAGCATAACTGTGATTTCAAGCTTGGGATGCAAGAGTTTTTTGGTTACCGAATTCAGCCAAATTTCTAATTGTGCATCCACTACAAAATCCGAACATCCAAACATATACCGTAGTACATCCTCTGTTTTTTGTGCTCTTTTAAAAATCCTGGAAATAGCAGAATCAGAATAATGCATTGTCCTCGTTAAGCAAATCTTTTCGTTACATTTTACCTCATCAGTGTTTTTCCTTTACATTTGTTGGCTTGAATTAGGATTTGTGTAACGGCATGAACACTAGTAGGCTGTGGGTGGAAAAGTACTAAATAGCTGACATGAAAATGTCTTCGTGAAAGTGCCAAATGATGCCAATCTGTTAGTAAATAGCAGTCACAGACTTAAAATGTCCTGGGAAACATTCCCCTACTATCTTCCCCACAATATAGTAACAAAGAAAGAAATTCATATGATACAAAAAGAAACTCTTTGTGGCTTGGTGTGCATAGCATATATACTGAAGGCATGAATCTCTGCTTTATAACAGGATTTAGTGTCATATACTGTTACTTATATCTTGGGTCTCCATCCGTTTATGAACTGCATGAGTTTCTTTACCTGCAGTTTGCTTAGCTTGAAGTCCTCTGACAAAATCTCCTCGGTGAGCTGCAGGAGTAAATTCCCATCGATCTTCTCAGACACAAAAAGAGAAACAATGTCATCTGGCAGGCCAATAAACCTTAGAGATTTGGACACTTCCTCAATAGAGAGACCAGCCAGACTGGACGGGGGCTGCCACTGTGCAGTGGCAGAAACCGCTGCACAGTCAGGAGTTAATGAGTTTGAGATGGAAAATATTTCTTTTGTGCCCTGCTCGTGTGAAGTAAGTGAGCAATTCAAAGTTTCCTGCTCACTGTCACAGACTGATCCTGACAGTAAATCTGTGCACTTCTTTGTGGCATTTGATTTTGGTGTTCGCGGTGGTAAGATGGGGCAAGAGAGGCTCTGCTTAGTGTTAGATTCTTCTATTGGCTTGTCTCTGTACATTTCTGAATTGTAACTTGAAGATTTGGTGCAGAACTGATTCAGAGAAGCTTTCTCCAACCTGAAGTCCTTACTGCTGCATGCATGCTCTCGGCTATCGAAGTCAACAAGACTGGATGTGCAGGTTTTTTGGGTGCTCTGGGATCTTTTTCTGGGGTAACTGTAGTAACTTCGACAGCTGGCTGGTAGAAATTCATCCATGCTGTGCGATTCTCCTCCGCTGAAGTTATTTGGCCAAGACAACCTGGAGGACATCCCGTCTGATGGCAGGTTACCACTGGGCAATGAAGCATTTGGCTCAGTGCTGTTGGATTTACCCCAGTTACAGGGGTAGCACACGTGGCTTTGCTCTTGTGGATCGGCTGCCTCTTGCTCAGATGCTCCACTACTGTTGGAAAAATATAAAATTAATTTGTGCTATAAGGGCAAACCTCATGTAGACCTCATCATATGATTTAATCATTCAACATTTCTAACAAAAACTTGACATTTTCCGACTGTTGTAAGGAAAGAATTTGGGTTAAGGAAAAACTTCTGTGTGCTGACTGATCTGCAATTAAATGTGTCATGACAGACCATCAAATATTTAATCGACACATCTTAATAAGTGAAAGAATTTTGTGGAATTGAACAAAATAGAAAAAAATACTTTGACAAAATGGTTCTCTAGAACTATATAATATCAGCATAAATTACCCTTAAACTAAAAATGTATAAGTGGATTGTCTGATTTTATACAGCATCACTTTTGTCTCTTGATTTTTTTCTTTCTTGATTTCTTCTTTTTAATTAGATGTACATTGTGTCAGATATGCGCTACAGAATGGGTCCAGCTCTTACATGTTGTGGAGACCAGAAGAATAATAGGAGAGGGTCGGACTTGGAGACCGAGTCTCTTGCTGCCGTGGCTTGGACAGGATGGGCACTGATGGCATCTGTTTCAAACTTCGTGGAGGGATTGGTGGAGCATTCAAAAGACGGCATTCTTCCTTCACCTAGAAAGGAAATGAACTGACTTTGAAACAGACAGCAAAATCAACATTCTTTTTTTTGTAAAACTAAAGATGTTCTTAGGACTTTCATTAAATAACCCCCATTTTTTTTCCTATTTATGGTCTGCATTTTATCTGCAATATCCATTAAAGTATTTACATTCAGTAATTTTCTCTGTATAGTAGTTTTTATTGGAAGTGGCAGCACGAGGGAATTAAAGAAAAAAAATGTGCGCATGAAATCCAGTGCAATTCATAACAGCCTCCTAACAGCCGTACTACTGCAACAATCAGCATCGTATTTTGTTTTATGACTGTATGCTCAAGGATCTCTCGTGATTAGGGTGATTAACAATTTCTGAAAAACATGTTTTATTGACTGCTTTATACCGTCATTAACTACTGGCTCCTAACTCTTCTTAACTGGTTGATAAAGGCTGCAAGTTCTCTGGAAATCGGCTAAGCTGGAAACAAGCCTTTTATTTTCTGTTTCAGGAAACATTTTTGCCCTCAGCATGGCTCAAAAACTGACATCCATAGAAGAGTTTGGTCTGATTTTGAAGTGGAGCATCTGCACATTCATTTCATATGCGATATGTTATAATCCACTAAAGTTGGGCACGATACAAGATGAATAAGTTGACCGCCTTGTCATCTTTGCCGCCATCTTGACTGTAAGGGAGCCGGGTGGGAGGATCGATCTACCTGCCATAGCTGCACAACATTCCAGCTGCCATGGCTGCAACCCAGTTTTGTTTTGTCTGAACTACACTCTATTGAATGCGCTATTCTAGTTTCCCGCATTGTTTCTGTCAGCGGATCATTTTTAATTTTTGCAATGGACAAGTGGAACAAGAAAGAACAGCCACAGTGAACTGTCAGATGAAGAGAAGAAGGCCACAGGCTGCTGTTGTGTGGAAAACAATTTGCACTGTGCATGACATGAAATCAGAAATGCAACTGCAATTATTACTGAATGACTTCTTTTTTAAAACACTGCGAGTTTGGACGCTCGCACTGTAATTTAACACAACAGTCATCTCTGTTGTATTGCTGAAGAAGAGGCTGTAGTATTAAACTGCACTTGCCATTACAACAACAACCACACGTGTTACAAAACCAACCAAGACTGATATCTTAAGGATTACAACTTCAAGTATGACAGATCATACTCACAGCTTCAGACTTGGGTGGAACTGGTGGTGGAGTAAGAGACACATCTGAGCTGGGTGTTGCACCAAGAGGACAAGTGACTGGGTATGACAGGGCTGTTGTTGTACCACAGCCATTGTTGATGCCTCGAATTCCCTCACTTACAGAAGGTTTTGGGATCTGACTTCTCAAGTGATCCAACCACAGCTCCTCATAGGGAACGTCCAACTTGTTGAGGGATGACTGTTGGTTTGTGCTCTCCATCAGTTCAGGGTAAAAGTGTTCATTTTCTCCTGAGTCTGAAGGGATGCAATCAGAGGGCAGAAGAGCCCAATCTCCACATAGTGTCATACAGCCCTGCAAATTGACCTCACTGTTGCCGTGCAGGTTGCTGCCGTACACACACACAGATAGTCGGTGGAAGGACTGGGTGAGTTCATCCCGGGCGTAAGTTAAAGAGCTGGGAATCTGCATGTGGTTGGGACAACCGTTGGAGCTGCTGCCTCCGCTGCTTCCACCGCAACTGCCATTCCCACTGCTTTTCTTAGGGCTCTTACCATCGTCGTTCCAGTCTGTCCGCACGTCCCGGACAGCACGAGAATAGTCATCTATGTCGAACTGGTCCTGGCAGAAGGAGAACCAACGATGTACCATAGTGTCTAGCCACAATTCTCCTTGGAGCAGCTCTTCTGGAATAATAAATCTAGGCATGGCCATATGAAAGGGGAAGTGGATGGGGATAATTTTGTTGCTTCGCAGAATGCAGCACACAACCACTGTCTTCGTTTGAATGTTGACCAGTTTGTAGCGATGACCCTCACGGATGAGGTGGAGGTCATGCTGGTTGCGGGGGGGACTGCTGGGTACAGTGACATTGACAGGGAGTCGGGTTTTCTCCACAATGTTCCTGATGTTGTGCTCGCCGTCCTGCATCTGAAGCTCCAGTGGACTACAAGTGCTGAACCTGCCTTTGCACTGGAAAGGCAGGCTAATGCTCTCATTGGTGCGATGGTTCATGCAGATCAAGCATGGCATCTTGCCTCGGCCGATCTTGCTGATGGAGTTTAGCTTCCCAATCTTCTTAAAAATTGTGTTGAATCTTGATTTTTCTTTGGAGGTCTTGGCATAGAGGATCTCAGCTTGGCCCATTAATGTCAGTTCATCACCGGTGTTTAATGTAATGTTGTAAACTTCGGTATCTTCATTACATTCCCCTGAAGCCATCTGTGAAAAGATGACATATGGCCTAAGTACTTTCGAAATTAAGAAGAGCATTTCCACATTGTGATTTTGATTTTTAAGTTAAAACCCTGTCAGTAATAATTAAGTTAGCAAATTAACAATGGGGCAGTAACAAATTCACTTAAATATGCCTGTCTTTTAAATCTTAACAGGAAGATTTATAGTCCCAACGGAAAATCTTACCCCTGTTGTCAAGAGTTGGAAGGTCTAGAGAAGTTAATAACATGGTATTGATAGTCCAGAATATATATATAAATTTCAATTTACACTACAGAATCCAGGAATAATAACAACAATATAATTATTTCTTCACCAAATTAGATGTACCTTAACATTGAAAGTGATTTCTTCCATGACATAGACTCTTTCAGGGAATGCTTTGGCCACCTCTTCCACGCTGTTGAAGTACTGCACAGGCTCCTTGACATCTCTGTCCTGCTCCAGGAGCTTAAACTGACCTGAAGTAGGGAAAGACATCTGAATGCAGCTGAGGGGGACAAGCATGGATTGTACTTTTCACTACAAGTATCAATTTTTAACACTACACTAAAAATCCACTCTGATTTTTTTAGGGCTGCAGCACAGATATCAAAGATTCGAAAAACCATTCGTGGAGCCCCCCCCCACTTTGAACCGCATGTTGTCAGATTAAACAACTGACTTTTACGGTTTTGATGTGTACAAAGATACATTATCAAAATACACTGACTATGTTTACATGCACAAAATATTCCAGGTTTTGCCCTTGTTTCAAAAAAGACAATATTTGTAGAAGGCTGTTTACATGGCTAATGAAAATTAATATTCCACCAATACTCCCTTTTACATGCAAACTGTTGAGGACTTGGTTTGTGCACAATGTATCCATGACAACACACAGAGCTGACCCTTAACAGACAAGAGATTGTGTATCACACACTGCAGTATAAACCCCAACGGAGACACATATTTTAAATGCACTGTGTACATGTTTAAAGAATATTAAAACCTGAATAATACCAACACATCCCACGTCTTAATTGGAAAACGCTAATATCCAAACAGGCCTAACTGAATATTTAAATATGTTGTTTACATGACCCATATGAAATTCAGAATACTGTTATATAAGTAATAACAGGAGAGTATTAGTGTGCATGTCAAGCAAATTCAGGAGCATCGAGCATCCATGCCTATGTAGCTCACCTTCATAGTGAACTGGGATCTCTATTTTTGGCCCAATGACATAATGTCCCTCCTCCAGACTGTGAGCAGTAATTGTTGTCCACTGACGGCAGGAATGAATCAAGAGGTAGTCATTGTCTCTGAGCCCTTCAACCAGCTGACCTGCAGGAATGAAAACAACAACAACAGATTATACATAACAATCCAGGAAATATTGTAATATTACAAGGTGTTGACAAAAAAACAAAAAAAACAAATGTACGCTAAATCTCAGAAAGTTTCAAATTAACTTCTAATGCACTGACTGCCCCTTTCTACGACTATCATGTAACACATGAAACAACATGTCACTGTTCGATCATGATGGTCAAAATGAAAAACATACAATACCAGGCTGACGTTGAAATATTAAGTATGAGAGCTCAGACACACAGATGTCTTTGCAGCAAAATTAATTTGAGACAAATGTTTAATGATGATCTTGAAGTATCCTGAGAAATGCCATGACTGCGGTTCTGTTTTTTATTGCACTTGTGAGCCTCACAGACTGCTCCACTGAAGCCAAGGCATTGGATTACTCAGCACACTTTAGTCACTATCCTCCAAGGGCAATAACAAATGCCTCAATCCATACCTCTCTAAAAAGCAAGCACTAGCATTTAAAAGCACAATACACCACCACAACTCTGCAGGAGGCTTAGTGGAAGGTGACTAAAGATGAGAAGATATGAAATAAAATAATAATTATTGCTGATTTCCTAATGGCTTCATTTGTAAGTGCTACTACAGTAGATATAATTATATTAGTGCACAATAGGGTTGCAGCGAAATACTGGTTTCAAGGTATACCGTGATATAAAAGTTGACGGTTATCATTCCGCGTACATTTCGCTATGATTTTTTCAAAAAGCAACTGGACAGAGAATCTCCCCTTTAGTTTATTTTCAAAGGGGAGATTCTTTACACATACTTCCATCAACAAAATACTTTTGAGTTTCAATTATCGTTCTAAAACATTTGTTCAACCAAAAGTAACCCTTCTGTTTCATTCCTTTAAGGGTCATACTGACTGATAATAATTCTGTAATACCGTAACTCTGTGAACAGTTATTGTACTGTGAAAATCTCATGCCATTGCAACACTAGTACAGCTGTGTACTAGAGCTGCAACGATTGTGGAGGTAAATTTCCTTACACAATGCAGTCATCTGTAGTCTGATTCTACATTTACCTTTCTGTAAATTTATTGTATCTTCTTGTATTGTTTTGCTTAAATGAGTCTTTCATTGTATTGAGAATAAGGCAGAGGATAATTTTTCAGCCTTGATTAAACAATATAGTTTACTTTTCCTGCTACAATTATCATTTGTATCTGTCCTTATTGTCTTTCTAAAAAGAGCATCATGCTGCACATGTGCCTTTTTAATAGGGATGCAAGATAATATTGGCACATCATCGGTATTAGCCAATATTGGCTTTAAAATAAACTATTAGAATCAGCCAACGTGCTTTTTTTTTATTTTGCACATACATTAAAAAGTATTATATTTCATGTCTCAATCTGCTGGTGGGCCATCACACTGAGATTATGCATGCATAATATCATGTTAATTCCACCACAGAAGAGACTTAATGATCACTACAATTAGGTAGGGAAAAAGTGGATATATAGATGGTTATCGGTTACATTAGTTGTTATATATCGGCATATCGGATATCGGCAATAAATCCAATACTGTGCATCCCTACTTTTTCATATGCACACATTTTCAAGGAGTTACTGTATTGCACAATCCAGTCTTCTGATGTCTCAATATACTGTCCCTAACATTAAATATGGCTAATTTGCTATAATGACAGATGTGTTGACACTAACTTCCTGTCCTCACCTACGTGGATACGGAGTGACTGCAGCAGTATACAAATAAACACTAACTTAGCAAACGTAGTTATTTGGTGAGCTCTTCACGATACACACAATAGGCTTCAAGACAGAGTCGCAGCTTTCATCATTAAATTATTCCAACTTATTATGTTAAGTAATCAGTTTTGTTGATAATTAGTAGTATAAGCTGACAAAATCAACAACAAAAAATGTGTCTTGCAAACAGCTTATCCACTTTACCTTTAGCTGCTAACTAGCAACACAGCTGGCATAAGAAAACTTAACAGTGACAGCAAGTTACTAACCGTTATCCAGCCTGGCAATTTGAGGCAACCTATAAGCACTGACAAGTTGATCTAATGGTAAAGACGTCGTGCTCCATGTAACATCTTTTAAATTGTTGTACAACATTGTTCCAAGGTCCATTTTTGCTAGCTTGCATTAGCCAACTGGTTAGCTAGCTAGCAATGTGTAAACACGGTCACAAACGGCTACACTGAGCTAACCAACCGAATAATACATCAGCTCTCCATCTACAGCTTTGTGTTTGGCGCGTCTCTTATTAATGGTCGCATATTTCCCTTTTCATTTGCCTACGTATCATTAAGCTCCGATGTCTCATAATGTAGCAGAGCCATGTTTGTTTAGCTCGCGACGGCTGCATCAGGGCAACTACAGTTAGTCAAATGAATAACGGAAGTACGTTTTTCCTTTCAAAATAAGAGCATTACTTTACATCAGGTACACGAAAGTGAAGGGTGAACAACACCAAACACTTTTCATGCTCTCTTAGTGAAGTCGCTTTGTTTCTCTTTATTTCTTCTCCTGTTTCTTTCTTTGGATTATAAAATATTGTGAGCTTGACTGTAGAGTATTTCCAAATGTGAGATCATTGGCTGTTAATCAGCTATGTATAAACCGGAAGTTGTAGTTTTCTATTGCTAAGTGTGTCACTGATGCTGAGAACTCAAAGATAAGGCAAAATAAATACCATAATTACAGTATTTCATATAACAACAAGCCATTAATTCTATCATAAGTGATTTTAACAGTGGTATTTAGCTAGTGAGTCAATGAAGGATTACTGTAACAATAAAGAATTTCTCGCCAGATACAATATGCAACGACCCCCAAATAATTTTCTGTAGTTTTTGACACTATTTCCTCTGGTATGTACATTTTATTGAGGAATGTCAACCACTCTATGTCTTTAACAGTGTCACCCGCTGATCCAATTCAATCTCCAATGTGTAGAATTTGTTTTTCCTTTAATAGAGGTATGAATAGAATACAATAGAATGGAATGGACAGACTTTAATCAATCAATGAATTTTATTTATAAAGCCCAATATCACAAATCACAATTTGCCTCACAGGGCTTTACAGCATACAACTTTATTGTCAATGTACAGTGTGCAGGTAAAATAAATAGTGGATTGCACTTAATAAATTGACTTTTGCACTAAAAAGAAGTGGATTGCACCTGAAGACCAAAATTATTTCATATGTTTTTATTTATCAGCCTGATGGCCTACGGTTTAAAATTGTTTTTTGAATTCCAGAATAAGAGTTTTGTTTGAGGACAACATGGTTTCTGTTCCTGCGACATTTTATTGGAGTAATTTTGTTTAGTAATATTGACAGGAGGGAATTTTAGTCCTTACCGCAAAAGTCCCTGCTAACAAATAAGGTAAAAAGAAGTTTGCTTTAAACTGATCCATTGATCCAGTGCTGCATTTCTTAAAAAGTTTAACAGTGACGGGTGTAAATTGTAAAGATATAAAGGTATTACTAAATTCATAGTTGACAATGGTCTCTCAGACTTAAGTATTTACTAAAGAAATACTTTATTTGGGCGCTATGATTACTGTGACAAAGGTATCATTGCATGTTTCTTTATTAATCTAATTTTACTTTTTGCCAAATTTCACATTCACAAATGAAAATTTACCAAAAAAAAATCCCCAAATTCTTTGTATTTATGAAGGAAATTGATCAATATTTGTCAATGATTCTTCTTCAGAAAACAAAAAAGTCATCAAAACAATAAATGTATGTATTATCTTTAAAATCATCAAGTGAACCTTTTGTCACAAGTCATTTGCATTTTTATTTGTACTTTAATTTATGTCAGATTTTTGTTGTCCTTTTCTGTTTGGCCTCCACCTGATGATTCTGATGGCTTGTAAAGGCTTGTAAATCATGATAAAATAAAATAAAACACCAATTTCCACTTGTTTATCTCTGTCTGTGTACTTATAATGACTTACAATCATCTCTCTGCATCTGTTTTAAAAAACAGACTTTAAAAGGACTGCACGATTCTCTCTGAGGAAATGAATAATGCACCCTGTATATACTGTAATGTAGAACCTGTTACATTCAAGGAATGAAAGTAATATGGGAAAGTAACTGACACGTGCTGAATTAGGCCTGCTACATAAATGCCAGAGAATCACATTTGGTGCGAAGAAAGAACAGCCATTGGCCCTTCAAACCTGGTGTGCAAATTTACCAGCACTGACAGTGTCATCACACTTCCTGATCTAGCTGGTACAAATCAGTAGAGCTTCCTTAATTTGGTCTGTAGCTCGGTGCAATCCCAACCAGACACCATGTCTTATGTGGACACTCTGCGCCAGTGGGACGAGGCTGTAACTTGTGTTGACAGACAGGATTTGCCAGAGGCACTCAGGATTTTTGTGGCTATCCAAGAAAAAAACTCCAAAATCTTTTTTAACATTGGCTGTCTCCATCTTCTTAACAAAGACCTGGATGCTGCTGAAAAGGTACGTCAGACCTTTGGTGGCAAAATGCAAGCTAAAACATGACAAAAAAAAAATAAAAATCTGTGGTATTTATTTTGTAATATTCATCAAAAAGTACAATCTTGTTTGGATGCAGCTGATTAAGCCGAGCTGAAATGTGGTGATGTTTTGCATTCTGAAAGTGCATGTCACTGTGAAAGAAGAAGTAGCACTCACCATTTCTCTTTTCTTCTAGAGGAAGTTACTGTGTTTTCTTGATTGTTTCTCAGGCATTTGATTGCAGCATAGGCAAAGATGAGCATTTGGCTGTTGCCTTCTTTCAGAGAGGAATGACATTTTACAAAAAGGAGAGGCAAGACACATTCATCTCAATAAAATGTCCACATTCACTTTTCATATTTAACATTGTGATTTAAATAACTGTCACACACGAATGCATTTATTGTCATGACATCTGATTCCTTGTCACTGCTCTTACTTTTAAAATGTTTGTGGTTTGTTACATGCAAAAGTCAATAACTGGTTTATCTGTATTTCAAAGGTATGAGGAGAGTTTAGCTGATTTCCAGTATGCCTTCAAAGCTCTAAGAGGCAACCAGCTGATAGATTACAAAGCACTTGGTCTCAGATACAAATTATATGCATGTGAGGTAAGTCTTTTAAAGCCTCCAAACGTTTTTATGTTCTTGTTACTCCTTATATAATTCTGTCTACTTCTGTCAGACAGTTTAGAGATGTAAATTGTATACACATATATAGGTGGGGAGGTGTTACCTGCAGGGTAGGGTAGCCCTTCTGTGTGGCGTTTGCACAATCTCCTGTGTCAGCGTGGGTTTTCTCTGGTTACTCCAGCTTCCTCCCACAGTCCATATTTCCCATTACCCATACACATTTCTTACATTTTGCAATTACTGTACATGTGTCCGCCTCTCAGATTTTATATTTTACCACTTTATTTTAACCTTTCCACTGCTTTATGTCTAAAAAGTACTTTCAATTTTCCCCCTTTTTCACTCCTTTCCAGGGGTCAAAAGAAAAAAAAATCAGACATTATTCTCAATTCTGTGGTCTGCATGATAGATTTAAAATGCCTGATATATTAAAATAATAAAGACCTTCTAATGCAACATCAGTGTTTCCTGCCACAGGTTCTCCTCAACGTGGCTCTGTCTGAGGCTCAGTTGGGTAACTGGGAAAAAGCCCATGAAAAACTTGTGAAGGCTCTCGACTACAAGACAGACACCAAGCTCAATCTCATCGACAAAGCTCTGGACTCTGCCCTGGTCAGTTAACATGTAGTCACAATGACAAAATCTTGGGATGTAAGCTGCCGGCGGTACAACAGACAGACAAGAGAGGACGGCAGAGGAGATACCCACACACCAATGTAACTGGGTTAGAAAGCCACAAAAAGGTCCACAGGCTGAGATCTATTTAAGACATCTGTGCTCAAAAAAGGTGCTCAAAGTGCAAAAAAATGATTAAGAGTGAGTTAAAACTTGACCCGTGATAGTCAAGGACTGAAATGTTTGCTGCTGTTTTTACTCACTCTCAGATGTCTTAAATAGATGGACTATAATTGCATCGATCTCAGCCTGGGGACCTTTTTGTGGCTTTCTAGCCCAGCTGCATTGATGTGCAGATATCTCCTCTCCTCTCCCTTCACACTGACTTGCCAATGACTAATTAATAAAAGCCCTGTATCAGCTATTTGCAAGAAAATATACATAAATGTTAGTCTAATCAATGAAAGGTCAATTATAGCAACAGATTTAGCAACTAATTTAGTTTTCTGTCATGTCAGAATTATGTGTCAAAAATATTACTAACCCTTGCAATGCAATTTCACCAACAGAGACAGAAACTTTTCAAACCAGTGGAGTTCCCATCAAAAGTGCTGTTTAGACCAAATAAGCACTATGTTGCTGAGCTGGAGAAGAAGGACTACCTGGGCAAAGCAACGGTAAGACTTTATACAATGACATACCTTTGCATATGTGATATAAACCCCATAAACATTACTTGAGTACAGCTCATCTACTTCACTGTAATTGTCTGTCACTTTTTACTGTAACTATTTGTGATAGAGAACCTACATTTTTTTCTTTCTGTTATCTTCAGGTTATTGCCTCCGTCATTCCTCAGGATGCCTTCTCCGGATTTGCCCCATTGCAGCCACAGGTGACACATGGGCTCTTCTTTGGCAATGAAAAACACACACAGTCTGATGACAAAGAATTCAGTGTGTTACATTATATCAAAAGCATATCATATGGAAGATAATAATCTTTATATATAAAGCACTTTTCAAAACAGAGTTACAAAGTTCTTTACATGTTAATTATTAAAACAGAGAAGACATGAAAACAACAACTTCTAAAATAACTGATAAAAATACTTTGGTATATAAAAACTGAGGAAATAAAAGAACATTTAAATGAACTTAAAACTCAAGTAAAATCAGGAGAGCCTCTCTAATAAAAGTATGTTTTAAGAAGGGACTTAAAAGCAATCACTGACTCAGTCGACCTGATGTCCTCAGGCAGATTGCTCCAGAGCCTCAGGGCCCTGACAGCAAACACTCTGTCCTCTTTAGTTTTCAGCCAGACGTCTAGAACAGACAAAACACCTCTGTCCGAGGACCTCAAAGTACGTCCTGTTGTGAACAGTACTAGGAGGTCAGAGATATGGCTGGGACAGAGACAACAAAGAACCTTAAAAGTGATCAGTAAAATCTTAAAATCTATTTTAGGACATACTGGGAGCCAGTATAAAGAGGCTAAACCTGTAGTAATGTGATCACATCTCTTGGCAGAGAGAGGTGAGAAAAGAGGCTGTTGCAGTGATCCAGGTGTGATGAGATGAAGGCATGTAAAATTGTCTCTGTTTTTAAAAGTTAAAATGGATCCTATTTTAGGAATATTTCTATGATGAAAATATGATTGCATGAGCTTTGTGATGAGCTTTTTGAACGAGACTCCAAGATTTATTGCAACAGGTTTGATATTAAGAATTATTATTAAGATAATATCAAATTAAGATTGTATTGGTGACCATGATGCAAATAACTCTGATAAGCTGTGTTATGTACAGGCATTAGTGACACTAATCTAACAAAGAGCTCTTGTAATACTACACTTTGATCGTGTCAGAAACGACTGCTACGTTTTGTGTGATATCACGTCCAGCTCTACTGACTGGATGCTTTTTTTTTTTCTGTTTACATCTTGCAGGTTGAAGATGGTCCAACTCGTCCAAAAGAACCAGAGGTCCTCAGGTACAACAGTCACTTTAAAGTCATAGAAACCTGATGCTCTCTAAAAACACATTTTACTTAGTTGTAGTTACAGTATCTGAAAATATGATTTATTAGACTTATTGCAGGAAAAATGATTACCTTGATATTTGGTATGACTTTGTGATAGATGATGGATTTCACAATGTTCAAAGTGGATGTGTAAAATGGAAAAATAATCTCTTAACGTAGCCAGGAAATAGAAAATAAGAAAAGCATCAAGCAAATCTACAAAGTGTGACACTTTCATAAGAGGAAACTGTTGAATCACTGTGTAAATATGAACAATACAAGAGCGGGAATAATCGTGTGCCAGCAGGTCTTTTGATCCATGTGGATGTCTCCTGTTTTCACAGGGCTTTAGAAGGAGAACCCCACACTGTCCTGTTTGAGTTTGTTCCTGAGACCAGTGACGAGTTGGCTGTGGTGCCAGGCAATATCGTGTTTGTACTGCAGAAGGGTGCCGACAACTGGGCATCTGTGATCTTCAATGAAAGAGTAAGACCACTGCATACAAACTGTACATCTGCAGCCTCTGTGCTAGTGTGCATCTCTCATGACCTTGGCAGTCGTGTTTCTTAATATGAAATGTAGATTATTCACATGTTACTGTCAGTTGGAAGTATTCATCATTATCATGTGACTTACAGAGGGGACTTGTTCCTTACAACTACCTGGAGCGTTTGGAGATCTCCTTGGCTTCTAAAAAGAATGAGGTAAAGCACAGACTTTATTTCTTATCTCGCTTTGTTGGTGTTATATCAGATTTGTAATAATGCTATGACAATGTTAATACTTTAACACACACAAAATTAAAAATATTTATTTCTTTATCTTACCTGCAGTGTTATTTATCAGTCGAGATTGTTTTGGTGTGAGTTGCTGAGTGCTGTCCTTCTATATAAAGGACCTAGATGACAGTCGGCTTGTGGTGCTCAAAGCGCCCTTTTTTTTGGTCTTAATTCAACAGCACTGTCTCTTTCAAGAAGTCATGACCTGGTTACTCAAGATAATCCATGACCTTCATGTGAGCAGTTTCATGTAGGAACTATTTTCTTGATACTGAACTACACCTGCCAAGCGACTCACCACACAGGAGTAAGCGTGCATCTACTGCAAGCTCACCTAGCACCACTCAGCTACCTAACATTAGAGCTCAGTTTAGGGGGACGCCATGAATGTTTACATCTCACGCTGTCATGAGCATGGACCTCTCGTCCATGAGGAGATGCATGCTTCCTTCTGCATGGTGATACAGTTGCCAGGTGTAGTTCAATGTAAGAAAACTGTTCCTACATGAAACCACTCACAACAAGGTCTGTGGATTATCTTAAGTAACCAAATCATGATTAATGGAAAGAGACATTGCTGTGGAGTTTTTCAAATGTATTTTTGGGCACTTTGAGCACCACAAGCTGAGCGCCATCTAGTTCCATTATATTCAAGAAAAGGCTTTATGGCCGATATCTCCAACACTCACGCCATAACAATCTAGATTGATAAAAACCACTACAGGCGAGAGGAAAAATATGTATTCTTGATTTTTGTCCCTTTAAACACTTCATCGGTAGTCTTGTTTTCTAAGCATATTTTGCAGGTTACTAAAATGGCAGTTGATAAATTGTATCTGCTCAAGTTCTGTAGTACATTGTAATTAAATATATATTAATTTTTTTCCATGTTTTGAATGGCTTTAATCAGGGACAGGGAGTATCTCAGCCTCCAACCCGAGAACCTCCGACCAGACCTGAGAGGAAACCAGGTAGATATTTCTGACAGTTTAAGCAAAATTTATTACAACAGGCACTGTTCTCTGATTGGTGCTTAATACCATTGCATTTTACCAGCTCAACCCATTTGTCATAACAAAGATTGTAACAAAAACGTGCAAAAACAATTTGACCAACAACAAAACTTTTCCCCATTCTCTGTTTAAGGTCTTACTCCTGTTGGTAACAGCAGTGGAGAGACACGAAAAAAGGTATGCTGCGGCAAATCCTTGTCCAGTCCTGCCCATGAATATGATACATGTGTAAACCACAAAAAACATGTTAAATATTAAGTGTTTTAAGGTGGATTGACTTCTACATGTCTGTGATGATTGAAGTCAATCAATGTGTGCTTTCATCACCAGGATGAAGGACCTACGGACAACTCATATATTGTCAAACTCCGTTTCACGTTCAACTTTGCTGTGTCAGTACCACCTGAGTCTCCCTATGCTGTACTGATTGAGACAGTCAGTAAGAAACTAAAGGTCCCCGCTGATGCAATCACCTTGAGGTACACTGCACATTCAACAAAAATCTATCAGTTTAATCAATTAGGATTGATTACGGATGTAGTATAAATTTCAATCCTTTTGTTTGATTTAGTTTAACCTCCGAGGTAACAGAGGAAAGTGTAATCGATGCCAGCACAGAAATGGAAAGTGTGTGGAGTCGTGCCAGCAGCAGGCGCATCACCTTGTGGTGTCAGGCCACAGAGGTAAGTTAGTACTGATTGATTGTTGAACATGCTGGCCTCAGAAAATACAGTTATTCTGGCTGATACTGCAGTTTCCTAATAAGGGTGTTGGGATGGTTATTACTTTTAGGATGTTCCTGCTAAATTGTGTTCAAGAGTTTCCTTAGAATTAAATTTTTTGTAAGGTTGGAAAAGCAGCACTGAGAATATTGAAACTCTCCATTACTATTATTTCATGACTGATCATGATAGTTCGGAAACATTAAAGAACTTGAGTGGATTTTTTCTTTTATTTTAAATACATTTCTATATAATAATTTATTATATGAGTGCTTTATGCCACGTTAGTACTCCATGTCGTCCTGGATTCAATATGTAAAAGTTATACCATGAACCATAAAGCCAGAGCAAACCAAGATCACTGTTTTCCAGCTCGAGTTATCATGAAATGGAGTAGAAAATAAATATTTCTGTGCCTTTTGTTTTTAGCAAACTGATGGAAATCAAAAAAGTGAGATTCACTTGGTGGCAATTCATTCCTATGAGTCGTCGAATCCTGAGGATCTCAGTTTTCATGAAGGCGATAAAATCACACTCCTCTCTAGAGGTGAGACTCCACTCTTTTGGCCATATAGATCCCAAATATTTAAAAATACTGTGATTTGTCTGAGAAATATGATCCTAATTTATATGTATATTTTTCTCTAGTTAACCAGGATTGGTTGGAAGGGCAGTGCAATGGGAACACTGGTATATTTCCTGCATCCTTTGTGAAAGAAGTTCCTGTCAACGGCCAGTAATTTAAATAAATGTTAACAGAAAATACTGAAGCTAGTAAAACCATTAACTAGTCAAAGCTGAGACATGGTCAGGTACCTCCAGCAACTAAATTCAATTAAGCAGGGTCTACATATGAATGTAGTTTATAACATCTTTTCACAATAATGACAAAACCCTTTAGACATGTGTGTCAACTTGTAATGTTCGGACAAAATCATAGGATACATTCTGTGACTCAGTAAGTGACGTGATAATTAAAAGTAGTCATAGTGATATAAGGTATATAAATATCTGATACTGATTTTATGAAAACATATCATTATTACAGCTCTCTCAAATTAAAGGCAACATACAAATAACACCAGCGGACATGATTAAATAATCTGTTGACTTTGTCAGTTACTGGTAAATTATCATGAAGATGTTCCTTCCTCTTCGTAGGCAATAGCTATGCCTCTCCTGCCCTCTACTGCCTTCACAACAGGTGTCTCCCCCAACTTCTGCTCTAAGCCACGCCAGCTTCGTTCTGACAGAAAAGATGCTGTAAGGAGAAAGCATAAATGTGTGTTGTAATATATAAGTGTGTTTGTGCAAGACTGTAACAAGTAAACATTTCTGTTTCTGTATGCACAAGGTGTAACAATTATTGCATGTGTGTGGAAGTCTTCAGTAAACATATGTATGTACGGAAATGAAAGCAATCAGTGTCTTATGTGCAGCAGATTTTCTGACTGTCTCATACCGGCTGAGTTGGTGGCTACAGTCAGCGTCTGGTTCCTGAGGACCACCGAAGAGCCAAATGAGGACACTGCCGGCTCACTGTTCAACAGATTCTTGCTCCGCAGAGCTCCTGTGATTAAAGACACGTCGGTCTCATCGTCCTCCTCCGGCTGATCAGATAGAGGCACGTGACTCTGTCGACCTGGTGAAAGGTTGAGAGAAAAAGAATGAATCGGATGAAGCAAGACCTCAATAGGCTGCTGATGTTTAAAAATATAATGGAAGAAACTTGTGTGTCTAATGAAGACAGAGAACTATATTCATATTAGGGACTGTACGCAAATTATGGAGGCGACAGGGCTGAATCTTATATTTCACTTTTCAATATTTCTAGTCTTTTATTTTTAATGAAGCACACTTTCGATATACTTCGTCAAAAATACTGCAGTATTTGATTTTCTAAATTTTGCCAAGCCCTTATATAAAATGTATAGATTAATAACAATTAACAGAATGATAATATTCACTTTTAAACTTTAAAATCTCTGGAGAACTTAAACTAGCCATGTCTATTTTGGAATAAAGCCTACATAAAAAGGCTGAATTTGAACTATAACACTGGCCAACTTTACGTGACATTCAACATTTTTTTGAAAAATGTATATAATATTTAATCCTGTTATAATTTCTATGCAGTCCCTTAACATAATAAAAGTTTTTCTGATGTGAATAAATCACAATCTGACCTGGCAGAAGGTGTCGAAAGTCTGTGACATATTCCTCCGACCACTCCCTCTTCTTATTGCAGGCCACCTCCATCTCAAACGGTGTTACTACAGGTTTGTAGAACTCACTGGAGTCCAGCAGTGAGTTCTCAGGACACGCAATTAACACAAAAATGTCAATTTCAAGAAAGTTTGCTAGTTTGGGTACGTTCAGCTTCCCCATGGCAAACATGTAGCTCTTCTTGCCAGCTGCTTTGATGGTTTCCTTCAACTGCTGGATGATGCTGAGGTAGTCTGCCACCCCAAGCGTGCCGACCAGGATGCCGACCACATTGGCATCCTTGGCCCTTTCTATAGCGTAATATCGCTTCATCAGTGCGCGGTTGATACTGACTGACTCAGTCCTTCCGGTCATTTTAATGGGGTCAAAAGAGCAAAATGAGCAGCGATTCCAAGTCATCATGAAGTTCCTCAGCGTCGCTCCCTCTTGGCCGACGTAGAACACACTGTAATCTGTGATGCTTAAACCGCTCTTCAGGGAGAACTTCCGGCCAAACTGACAAATAACCTGGCTGTTGTCTTGCTCTGTGGCGTCATCGTGTTTTCCTTTAATCCAATCATGACTGAAACACTGCTCCCCTTCGACAACAAGTTCTGAGACGACAAGGTTTGGATACTCTGGTGAAAGGAGAGTCAAAAGATCACCTAAAAAGAAAAAAAAAGTTGTATTCAGTCACACCAGAAATCATTTACAAAACTGAATATCTACCCAATATAATGACATAAACATATATATTCCCTATTTCATGCCTCAGATAAAAGAGCACACAGTAGGGCTTGTAGAATCCTTACTTATTGCATGAACATAGTTGACATCATAGAGAATGATGATATGACTCTGTGTGTCGGGGTAGAGTTCTCTGAAGGCAGAAGTACACTTCTCAAGATCCACAGGTCTTTTCTCAAAGACGTACATCAGGGGCAGCCTTTTAGATGGGCTGAGGCAGGCGCTGCCATAGTGCACAATGCAGTCGGCTCCAACGTGTTCCGCGGCTACCTCGTCCACACAGCAACTGCTCAAGAAAATTCAACAACAAATATGAATGTACACAAAAATAACAACACTAAGAGCATTTAACTTACATCTTATATTGTGAAAAAATACTATAATAGTACTTGGTCTGCAACAGTGTTTGGTTGGGTGGTGTGTGTCAAGTGGAATCCACACGAATGCCAGGACCCTCCCAGCAGAGCATTGCTTTGTATCTAGTGTAAGGTGCCTGTAAAATATGTGTGTTCTCAAATGAACCTGATGTGTTACCTGCCATAGGATGTATCTCCCAAAATGTATGGCTTTGCATTGCTGTTTCTCTCAATCTCCACTGCTACTGCAACTGAATCCACCAGCAGCTCATCAGGAAACTGCAGAGCAACCTGTGAACATTTAACATTTAAGACAAACTCCTCAGAGGTGTATCTAGCATTCCTGCATAATATTTCACTGAACTTGCTTGACTGATCGACTGATCGAATAGCTTTTTAACAAGAACTGTGTCGTCCTTTCATTCTTTTATATACATACACTCAATGGCCACTTTATTAGGTACACCTGTTCAACTTCTTGTTAACTGAAATAGCTAATCAGCCATTCACGTGGCACCAACTCAGTGCATTTAGGCATGTAGACATGGTCAAGACGACCTGCTAAAGTTCAAACCGAGCATCAGAATGGGGAAGAAAGGTGATTTAAGTGACTTTGAACGTGGCATGGTTGTTGGTGCCAGACGGGCTGGTCTGAGTATTTACTGGGATTTTCACTCACAACCCTCTCTAGGGTTTACAGAGGATGGTCCGAAGAAGAGAAAATATCCAGTGAGCGGCAGTTCCCTGTGTGAAAATGTCTTGTTGATGCCAGAGGTCAGAGGAGAATGGCCAGACTGGTTCAAGATGATAGAAAGGCAATGGTAACTCAAATAACCACTGGTTACAACCAAGGTCTGCACGTCCAACCTTGAAGCAGATGGGCTACAGCAGCAGAAGACCACACCAGGTGCCACTCCTGTCAACTAACAACAGGAAACTGAGGCTACAATTCACACAGGCTCACCAAAACTGGACAATAGAAGATTGGAAAAAACGTTGCCTGGTCTGAAAAGTCTCGGTTTCTGCTGCCACATTCAGATGCTGGTGTAATGGTGTGGGGGAGATTTTCTTAGTACCAACTGAGCACGGTTTAAACACCACAGCCTATCTGAGTATTGTTGCTGACCGTGTCCATCCCTTTATGACCACAGTGTACCCATCTTCTGATGGCTACTTCCAGCAGGATAATGCACCATGTCACAAAGCTCAAATCATCTCACACTGGTTTCTTGAACATGACAATGAGGTCACTGTACTCCAATGGCCTCCACAGTCACCAGATCTCAGTCCAAAAGAGCACCTTTGGGATGTGGTGGAATGGGAGATTCTCATCATGGATGTGCAGCTGACAAATCTGCAGCAATTGTGTGATGCTATCATGTCAATATGGACCAAAATCTCTGAGGAATGTTTCCAGCACCTTCTTGAATCTATGACACCAAGAATTAAAAAGGGGGTCCAACCTGGTACTGGCAATGTGTACCTAATAAAGTGGCCATTGAGTGTGCATACAAACTTAACTATTTACACGATTAAAGGTAAAAACTGTATCCTCACCTTTTCAAACTGATGCTCACTGATGAAGGCGCAAGTCTTCTTAATCTGATACAGCTCTTCAAGTTTATCCAGAGGAGTATTAGTCTTCACAGCAGCCTCCACCACACGCTGTATTACGGTTTCCGAGCTGCTGCTAAATGCGTCAGACATTGTTTCATCGGAAACACGCAGCAGTGCCTGCAAACATGCGACAGACCAAAGTTTAACATATCTGTTAATGATAAAGCAGCCAAACTGTTGAAAGCAGAACCACCACTTCTGAAATACCTAATGGTTTATTCTTAAGTAAAAAAGTACTGAACTGATTTAACTTATATCGAGTATATTTTCCTTAACAATCTCAGACTGCTGGCAGTGTTGTTATGTTTAGGAATTAAGCTTAACAATGTAGACAACCACTTCACGCACTGTCAACTGAACGTAATAATGGTTTCTTACACGATAACGACACTCACTGTCACAAACGTACTTTAACCATCCCTAAAGTTACCTGACGTTACCTTAAATCCGCCTGCTAGCTTAGCCGTTAGCTGGTCTGCATTTAAAATTACATCACTACAAACTTAATTTACAACCTACATTTATAGCACATACATGCAGACTTACACTTCACTGTCATGTGGGTAGTTGTTGACGGATAAACGCTTTATTTAACAGCTGAGTTACACGTGTCGACAGACCAAAGCAAACGTTACTTCAGTTCCACTAAGACAAGCACTTCCGGTTCAAACGTGTTTTCAAAATAAAAGCGGTTTAGTTTCCTGGTATTAATTATGTCAAGACAAATTCTAAAACTTTATCAAACAATTTAGAAATACAACAGTAATACAAGTCCACCATATTCTCAAAGAAGATCTGCGTGAAACTGAGTAGAAAAAAACGATGAATAAAGAAAATAAAAATACTTAACGGAAACAAATTTA